TCAAGAGCACTCAACTCGCACATTTGAAAGTGACAATTTCAAATGCCGGTCTGTGGTCGATGGCAGCCCATCATCCCTCATTCTGCGGGTCGCTAAAATTGCGTAACGCTTTGTGAGAAGTCGGCCGCGCTTTGGTAATCCTTGGCACCCGCCATAGGAATGTGGAATTTGTTTGAGCAGAATCCCCCAACACACCCCCCCACCCACCCACCCCCACCACCTTCCCCCACCTCGCCAATGTTTCTATTCCCCGGAGGCACTTTCCGTAAATGAGGGCTGACACACAAAAAAAAGAATACCACAAATTCTTAGCGCACGCAGAAATGGCCACCTCTAAAACGGAGGAGGAATTCCCGCAGACGTTGACAGCCGGTACTTAACTGTGCCCGGATGCTTGCACGTACACATCAGTCATCACGGAGCCTTTAGATGGAACCAATAAGAGGTAACGTCGCATATCCGACCGTCAACTTATCCGCCCCGACCGATCACCCGGTCTCCTAACCTGTACACCTGTGAGAAGAGAGCTTTATAGCTCATCGGATTCCTCCGGTAAAAACAAAATACGATATTCTGATTCTAAAAGTACCCACCGCGATATTCGCGCACGACGGTTGTGACTTGTGGTCGACAACAATGGGACGTTGGCAAGTCCCACCTTTGTCTCTCTTTCATTTCTCACTCACTTCTCCGACCTGTAAGTACCCCCGTGCCGCATGCGAATCACGAACGCTGGGAAGCGATCGCGATAATGGTGCACGGGGTGATCCGTTTGCAGATGCCGCCAGCCACTCGTTTCTAACGAACCCTTTGAATTGGCTGCTCGACGAGTGATTGATTACAGTGAACGCGATGGCTCCACACGTTGCAGACAAATTTCATTGAGATGTAATAGGTGCACTGAGATTGGTGGGAGGCGTGTCGAGGCGCTGGATTTTAAAATGTTGCTTTCTCCATATTAATATCTCCCATTGATTTTAATGGGGGAGGGGGGGGGGTATCTATAAATGCATCACCTTGAATTTTAGCAACATACGGAGTGGCGGCACTGCGTGACGAACCTGGTGAACCGAGTTCCATTCCCGGCCACGGCAAACATCAGTGGCGAGTGACATCTGAACCAATCTCGGGCATCTCGCATCTCGACCACCTACACCCCCTTCCCCGCCCTGCTTTAACCAACGCACACTGAGCCAGCATGGTGAAGTATGGTCAAACACCCCCCCTCTTGCAAACAACCCCGACGAACCAGGCTTAAACCATCCGAGCTTCTCAGATGCGTTTCTGTGGCCGTCTGGAACGCTCTTCCTTTCCGATATTAGGAAACCACTTGGAGTTTACGTACTTCTAAATCATCTCGATTGAAAACTAATTTCTTTAGAACTGATTTTTGTGTTTTAGTTTGTTAGCCTTCTCCCTGCACCTCGGATTATCACGGTTGGCTGCGTACGGTGCGAAAGAAGTTCAACATACATACAAGTAGAGACTGGTTGCAAACGGAGCGATTCAGTTCAAGGCAGTAAACATATTCGCCGTATGAATTAAGGGTAACATTTAAATCTATAAAGATACTCGTTTTAATATTTGAACGAAGCCAGAAGGATAAACTTGACTAGAATGTGTTGCCAAACTTCATCTTCCTATCCCTTCGAAAGCTATCGCTGGATTTCACGCAAGTCACACATCCAGTCGGGTGTATAATCACGATGATCATCGTGCTGCTGTGGCAGAAAGTTACCCTCCAGAGAGATGAGTCCCAAAGAAGGTGAAACCGCTAGAACACACGTTTTTTTAGTTATACCTTGCTCTCACTATAATCCTGATTGTTAAAACCTCGGGTGTATAGAAAATACAAATTATATGACCTTACCCGGCCGATTGATCTATGTAAAAAGAGTATATATATAAATATATACGCACACATTTGGAACGTATAATTACACGCATACACAGTCAACGACGCATACTGTACACGCAGTCGCACACACAGTTTCACAAATGCAGACGGTCAGTATATATACGTAAATATGTATATGAATACTATTGTACGTACGCATGCATAGCGCACATGTATATTTAGCTTACTATTTGACTGTTTTTTTCTATTTAAAAAGGTAAGGCCCACTGAGATATACAGCTCTTTTTCAGAAGCGATCTGGCCACAAATGATAGCTCAACGAAGTGGCTCATCACGTGGAAATTTATAGCAGCCAAATACTCTAAGCGCATTTTTCTAAATTGGGGGGGGGGGGGCGGAGGACCCGGAGAAAAATCCACGCAACCATGGGGAGAGAGACGCAAACTCCAAATATACAGCAGCAGGCGTCAGGGTCAGGATCGAACCTACTACCCCCTGCATACCAGGCGAGGTAGTTAACATATCCTAGCCACTGTGATGATGATGAGAGAGAGAGACACGCAAACTCCAAATATACAGCAGTAGGCGTCAGGGTCAGGATCGAACCTACTACCTCCTGCATACCAGGCGAGGTAGTTAACATCTCCTAGCCACCATAATGGTGATGAGAGAGAGGCACGCAAACTCCAAATATACAGCAGCAGGCGTCAGGGTCAGGATCGAACCCACTACCTCCTGCATACCAGGCGAGGTAGTTAATATCTCCTAGCCACCATAATGATGATGAGAGAGAGGCACGCAAACTCCAAATATACAGCAGCAGGCGTCAGGGTCAGGATCGAACCCACTACCTCCTGAATACCAGGCGAGGTTGTTAACATCTCCTAGCCACTGTGGCGCCCCTTGATATCCTGAGGTCGCCGGTTCGATTCTATTTCCCGACGCGGCAGTACAAACAATGGTGCAACTGTGAGGAGGATGAGGAGTGACGAGTAGGGTGAGTGAGGTGGGTGAGGTGGGTGAGTGAGGAGGGTGAGTGAGGAGGGCGAGTGAGGTGGGTGAGTGATGAGGCTGAGAAGTGAGGAGGGTGATTGAGGAGGGTGAGTGACGAGGGTGAGTGACGAGGTGGGTGAGTGACGAGGTGGGTGAGTGACGAGGGTGAGTGACGAGGTGGGTGAGTGAGGAGTTCGCGTGTCGACGTGGAGCCGCGGTGTGGCTCAGGTCGCTCGCTATCGGGAGCGCGATGCAGCCTCGAGCCAAACTCGAGGTGGGAGGGAGGACGGCGTGGTGGGTGTGGGGGAGTTTGTGATCAAATTCTTTTGAACTCGATAAACCGAGAGATGTCGGCGCCACGGAGGGAAGGCCACAGCCGTCCAGACGGGCCTGGCACGCGGGACACGGGGAAGTTGCCACCACCGAGGGATGGTGTCTCCCTCTCTCGTTCTCTTGCGCGCGGGACACGGGGAAGTTGCCACCACCGAGGGATGGTGTCTCCCTCTCTCGTTCTCTTGCGCGCGGGACACGGGGAAGTTGCCACCACCGAGGGATGGTGTCTCCCTCTCTCGTTCTCTTGCTTCGTTTTTGTTGTTTCACGCCCAAGAAAACCCTCAACTCACCCGGGTCTCATCTTCTTCATCTCGCTCGTGCGGCTCATGTCGCTGTAGGGCGGTGTTCTTCACTTATTTTCAGAGCTGGTGGGGGGGGGGGAGGGGGGGACGACTTTCGCCGATAAGACATCATCAGTGTGAGGGCCGCCACAGACGTGAATCCATTGGGGGGTTTGACAGCATTATGATGATGATGTGTAAAGGGGGGGGGGTGTTTTCACTCTTGGTGTAATGTCGGGGGGGAGGGGGGGCCGCACGTCAGGGGTGCCGCACTAACGGCCACCAGGGACCTCCAGAGGCCCGCGGGGTGTCCTTGCAATGAAGAACGCCGCCGTCGAGCAGCGCCTGTGACTTCACGTCGAGGTGGGCGATGAGCCGCCCCGGGTGATTTGCGTCCGGGGTAGCGGAGCGGCGCAAAACCTCTCCCTGTGCGGGTGACGACGCTCCGTTCTTCCCCTAGTCTTTGTGAATCGCCGCGCTAAGTCTGCATTCCACGGTTCCAGGGGTTTCTCTATGCCGGGCGGTTGACCACAGTCACCGCATACTGCCCCGGAGACAGTTTTTATTTTAATATTCCATTTGTGCACCGTCATCAATTATCCGCATCTGTCGCGACCCACAGTCTCATTGTCCCAGCTGGAGAGCGGTCGCCGCCAGACGTTCGCGGTTCTAACGCAACGGCCGCCCTGATTATTGCTGACGGTGCAATAACAACAACGACGACAGGCGAAGTCTGATCTTGATTTGATTTGGCGAAGTCTGTTTCACGGCGGACGTGACTCTGCCGTCAGAGTACCGGCGCACGGTCCCACATTTGAATATTGCACCGCAAATGACTCGAGTGGGATGAATCTTACACACACATACACACGGCGACAGCGGTGATCATTGATCCTCCAAACTGGCAGACGAGTGGCTCAGGTCACTCGTTGTAAAATCGGACTCGTCATGATCTCTTGACGTTTCGCCTGGTCAAACGCAATACACTCAACTCGCATGGAGATTCGCGAATAACTGATGCACGTTCAGATCCTCGGCTCCGCATAATATGATACAATGTAGCTAATGCATTAAACGATTAAATGTTTATTTTGCTCACGGTTAGTTGCTGCACTGTCATGCCGCAACCGACGACGATTATGCTTCTGCTGCTGATGAGCATCCTCATAGCCTCACAGACTATTTGGGGGCACGCGCCTTCACTGGGCACATCGCAAGGCCGGCACGGCACACGAGAGAGTTTGTGTAGTTAGCGCCACGCCCAGCCGCCTTTGTCTCCCCAGTGCATATGCTGACTCGACCTAGAGGTGAGCGTAACACTACTTCAGAAATCACTCGCCACTGACGTTAGCCGTAGCTGAGAGTCGAACTCGTTATCGCAGTGTGCTAACCATTGCGCCACCGCTCATCAGTGAAAAACAGACTGTTGGGGCAAGTGCTGTACGCGAGCCATCTATGAATGGCCGGAACGGCACAGTAACATTTCCCAGCCTCCTTCGTCTCCTCAGTGTTGATTTTCGATACAAGCCTTCGGCGGGCGACTCGCTTAATGCTGAGTCGACCTCGGCGAGGGCCATTACCGTTTCATAAAATCGTCACTGATATTAGCCACGAGCGAGGATCGAACTCGGATATCTGCAAGGGTTCGCAGCGCAGGTGCGGCCGGCGCTAACCACTTCGCCACCGCTCCGCACGTGCACGCACGCGCACGCACGCACGCGCGCGCACGCACAGCGGAACTGAAGACGTAGTAGCCTCGGCTTGCCCCGAACAGGTCTCATTGATTACCCTGCAGCCCACACAACCCTCCACCCCACCGCCCGACCGCGCCAGGCGAATCACTGTGTGATCGGTGGGAACTAAGACCATTGTGATGCTAAAGCAACTCAGGGTGGGGCGCGGGAGGGAGAAGGGGGGGGGCGATCTCTGTCAGATCTCGAGGGTCCAGTTCTCTTCACCCGCACCCCAACCTCCTTCACCACTGCCCTCCTCCTCCTCCGCTCTCTCGCTCTCACTCACTTGGCACTGACGTGCGCTCACATCGACTGCCGACAGACCGAGGCGCGTTATGCACAGAGCCCCGAGACCCGCGTAGAGTCTATCGCCGCGGTTATTGCCTGTATTGTGTGTGCATGTGTGGGTGTGATGATAAAGGATCATCAGCAGCATCATCAGCATCATCATCATCAGCAGCAGCAATGGGATTATAATTATCAGCAGCAGCAGTGACATATTTGTCAGAAGCGGTAGAACAAGCGTGCAGCAGTAGCGCAAACAGCTTTACTGATATAATTTTCACCATCGCAATCGTCAGCAGTAGTAATAGATTATCATCAGCAGTCGTGGAAACATCATCATCATCAGTGTAAGCAGGAGCAGCACGATGAAAGAATCGCTATCATCATCAGCAGCAGTAGTAGCTGCGGCAGTCACAGCAACAGCATCAGCAGCGACACCTATATGATCTGTTATCGTCATCAGCAGCCGCAACTTAATCATCAACTTTAACAATAACGGAATCGTTATCAACAGTAGCAGCAAAAGTAACAGTCCAACACAGTCATCATCAACATCATTAGAATCATTATCATCAGCAGCCTTATCATAATCTCGCCGCTATACCCCTACGCACACACATACATGTAGAAGCACTCTTAGACATTATACAATCAAATACACAGCCACCTCTACTCGTACCTGAACGCTGCCCTGTGGAATACAACCTCGTATCGTCATCGGCAGCGTTATCGTCGTCACACTCACAACAGGATAACACCACGACAATTATCACCATCAGTCAGCTGGAGATCATCAAGTCGCGTGCGCCTCGCATGCATGCGAGGCTTGAAGCCGCCGTCCACGTAGGAGCCGTGGGGGAAGGAAACGCGAACATCCCACCCGAGCTATGGAACACGGGTTCGCATCTCCACTCCGGTGCATCACCGACCTCGTCGTCACGGTCATCATCTTCGTGGTCGTCGCCGCCGGCTTCGGCTACGTTCCTCTGGCCGGGGCCTCGGCCTCGTGGTGGTGAGTGGAATGAGTGGACGGTTGTGGTGGGTTGGTTGGTGGTCGTGGTGGTGCTGGTGGTGCTGGTAGTTTGGTAGTTAGCGCGCTGCGCAACAAACCCGGCCGCTCACGTTCGATTCGCGCTCACGGCCGTCAACACCGGTGACGATTTAGCTGAACCGATCCTGGGCGTCCTCTATGGCGAATCAAAGAAGTAACTGGGTACTGTGTGTATCAAACATCGCCATTAGGGATACAAAGGGGGTCGGGCGCGGTGTTGGCTACCCACCCCTTCGTGAACCGTGCCGGCCTTTTAGGTGGTTGCTCACAGCACTTGCCCCAACAGTCTAATAAGGCTATACGGGGATCTCTGTCTTTGGTGCTGGTAGTGACTGGAGGTGATAAAGAAAGTACGTTGTAATAACTTCGCATTCGTTATTAGGGTTGTCATAACGTACAATCATTGTCATGGTGATAATCATCATCACTGCCGACAAAATCATCATCATAGTTGTCAATATAACATACTTGTCTTCGCTGTAATCATCATGATCATGAAGATCATCACCAGTGTCTCGCTCGTCATCGCTGATCATGATGGGCATCTTTATGATGCGTTATCTTCTAAACTATCGGTGCAAGGATATTTATCATCATCTGTATGATGATGAGATCATGATCTTAATGATGATTATGATGATCAGCAGCATCATCTCCGTCGTCATAATCACCATCGTTATCATCACCACCATCATCGTCGTGTTAACCATAATTGCCGTTGTCATCGTCACCGCCATTACCATCATCATGATTATCATTATGATCACTGTCAGCATCATCGTCATCACAAATCGTCGTCATTGTAATCTTCGTCACTGCCGCAGTCATCATCATCATCATCAATAATTCTAATGATCGCCACCGCGATGATATTCAGAACGACTATATTCCTGATTGTGCTGCTGGTTTACCAAATGTTATTGGCAAGAGCACTCCCTTAAAACGACGTAAAATAAAAACACAGCACTAAAGAAAACTACCCAGTCTGCGAGGTCGTGCAGCGTAACCTCCGTTTGTACGACAATATACATATATACTGTCGTGCGTTCATAACCCTCCGTGGCTGCGATCTTTAACCAAATTAGTCACTTCATGATTAAAAAAACAAAAATACCCACCGCGGTGGCACATCTATCTGCACGAATGTAATAACACATCACACGACGCTCTAAACCCGAATCGATCAAATAATAAGCGGCAATTTGAAAATGACCTCAGGAGCGGTTCTCTATTGCACCCTTCCCCGGGCTATGTTCTGACCATAAGCCAGAGCAAGGTGGTGCACTGCTCACTGCCGGGAGCTACCAATGGATAGACATTCCTTTTCGAGGTCCTCATTCAGCAGTGGACTGAAAAACTTTGGCTGTATATTTGCGATGCGAGGGCTTCTCGCTGCATACATTCTGGAACGCCAGCAATTGGCAAAGCTCCGCGGCTTAATTTGTATTCGGATGTCATCGGACCATTAACGAGTGCTCATATCCGTGCGAGGGAGAAACACTCTATCCCATACAGACAGAGAAGGCGAAGTCCGCATTGTTTTGATGCACCGCCCTCTCCTGGCGAGCTAGGCTATGGCAACCTCCTCAACATCAGTGCGATCCACCAATCCTCGCCGCCGCCGCCTCCTCAAACAGTCGCGGACTACGGGCCACGTGTGCCTGGCCAACCACACACGTCTGCGCGAGCTGAACCCGTGCCGTACCCGTGCCGTGCCCGTTTCTCGTGCCAGGTCGCTGGGTGCCGTGCCCGTGCAGAGGCCCGAGGTGTACCTGCTGGGCGCGCAGCCGCTGTGCGCCTCGCTGCCGGGTCTCTCCCCCGGGCAGCGCAAGCTCTGCTCCCTCTACCAGGACCACGTGACGCACGTGGCGGCCGGGGCGCGACTCGCCGAGCGCGAGTGCCAGCACCAGTTCCGCGCCAGGCGCTGGAACTGCAGCGCCGGGGACGGCGAGCACGCATTTGGCAGGGTCACCGACACGGGTGAGCTCGTGTGTATCTGCCTACTCACCTGTCTGCCTACTTACCTGTCTTCCCGCCTACCTAAATATCTAACTACCTGCCTGCCTGCCTGCCGGCCTGCCTACCTACATATCTACCTACCTGCCTGTCAACCTGTCTAACTGCCTGACCGCCTACCTACATAACCTATCTTACCACCTGCCTACCTGCCTGTCCCACCTACATATCTGACTGTCTCACGACCTACCCAACTACCTACCTGTCTGCCCGCCTAGCTGCCCAACCACCTGCCTAACCACCTGCCTGTCTGCTTGCCTGCCTGCCTGCCTACTCATCTGGCCAGAGTTATGTCTGCACACAAGAGCAGGTGCATGCTTATAAAGTGTTTATCTAGGAAGGAAGTGGTTATATTTTTTTTTAAATATGCAAAGCGAGGTAGAGGAGCGGAGGAAGGAAGCTCTTGAACCTGGGACTTGAACAAGGAGGTGATAGAACGGAGGGGTGGGGGAAGGGAGTTTCCAGACCTTGTGGGCAGGAAACTAGAATGAACAACCCCCCCCGCCTCACTGAGTTATAGGTATACGGAAAGCCTTGGTTGCTGGATTAGAGAGTGTGTGGAGAGGCGGTGCTGGGGGGGGGGGGTTAAGAAATGATGACAGTACAGAAAGTAGGTCCACGTAGGATTGTGCAGTGACGATCGTTTGAGGGCCGTTTAGAAGTAGCGGAATTGCATCCGTGACGGATTCGGTGCGCGTGCCGTAGTTTCCGCCACACATTTCCTTACCCTCATTCCGAACACCCCCTCACCCTCGCCGCCCATCAACCCCCTCGCCATCAATGAGGCGATCACGTGTGGTCTAGCGGTAACGCTTTCGCCGCGTGTCTGTGGCAAAGGTTCACGGTTCTAATCGAGCGGCCGTCCTGATTAATACTCTGGGTGAACGGTAGTAACCACAAAACAACAACAAAGCAATATTTTGCCTTACAGTGAACGTTAAAGATCGCGTTACGTCCTTCGCAAGAGCACCCATTGTGTGGCCGGACGAGGCCACTCGAAAATCACTCAACACACACAGCCATCGCACGGGCGAAAAAAAAAACACGTGGCAGGACCCTGGCCTGAAAGCAGAAGAAGAAGAAAAGTAACAAAACCAGTCACGAGACTCAGCGAGGGGTTTCTCGGTGGCTGAACAAAGCGTAGTCATAATACGCAATGATCATAATCATTTTGAAATGTACCTATTTTCAATGAGAAAACGTGGTGTGCATTTGCGTCTTTCGTTCACATAAAGTCCTGCTTACAAAAGCAAAGTTTGTGGGGAAAAATAGCCATTTTCTATACTTTTTAGGCATACGCAATTAAAAAATATAACACTTAGTACCCAGGGACAGATATTGTGTTACATAGTGTAATAAACGTGATATTAGTGGCGCAACTTACATTATGAGCTTAGGGGGTGCGGGCAATCGCTCTGGTGATGCCCCGATATTTGATTTGTCTCGCACGGTCGCACCGAGGCTGTGAGATATCCCGGCTCCTCTCGTTACCCTCACGGTCTCGAATATTTAACGCTGTAGGGGCGCTCCGTCGTCGAAAATTCACCCACTACAGCTCCGTAGCGCCTCTTTTGAAAAATTACGTTGTTGCTCAAATTAAATAAAAATAAAACGTGGAACGTGAACAAGAGCATTTTCATAAAAAATAAGAATGTAAACCGCGTTTTAAATAGGTTGTTAATCTTCAATACTGCTGTTGAAAACATCTCATCATGGTGGTTTTCAAGGGTGCCCTAAATCGTAGCTTTGGTCAGGAGTGGGGTGGCGTGTGGGGGGGGGGCAAGGCACCCCCCCCCCGCCCCCCAACGCTGGTCACGCTCCTGCATGATGGTAACCAACCCCCTCCCTTCCCCCACCTCTCCCCACCTTACTCAAACCCGGCTCCCCACCACGTGCCAGGCTCTCGCGAGGCCGCCTTCGTCTTCGCCGTGTCGGCCGCGGGCGTGACGCACGCGGTGTCGCGCGCGTGCCGCGAGGGCGACCTGGCCACGTGCGGCTGCAGCCGCGCGCCACGCCCGCGCGCCCTGCAGCGCGACTGGCTGTGGGGCGGCTGCGGCGACAACACGGAGTACGGCTACCGCTTCGCCAGGGAGTTCGTGGACGCGAGGGAGCGAGAGGACAGGGGAGCCGCCGAGCCGCGCCGGGCGCTCATGAACCTGCACAACAACGAAGCGGGCCGTCGGGTAAGAAGTGGGTGGTGGCGTAGCGGTGTGAATCCGGCGGGCCTTCCCCTAGGTCGACTCAGCCTCAAATCAATACCTGGTGCGGCGTGTAGACATCGCCACTGGGGATACAAAGGCGGCCGGGCGTGGTGTTGGCCACTGACCCCCTCTTGTGTCGTTCCGGCCTTCATAGGTGGCTCGCTCACACCATTTTACCCAAAAGTTTGTTAAGGCTAAATGTGGGATCTTTGTTGTGTATTGTGTCTGTTGTATGGGCTGATGTATGCCTATCTTCGTCCTCTCATTATCATTATTATTGTTGTTTAGCCGTACATTATACTGGGCGCACATCACCAATATCTCTGAGAGCTACCCACCTATGTTTTTACTGTACCAGGTAATGCCCACTGAGTTCGTAGCACAGCGTGCTAACCGCTACACGAAGTGGCTTATCGCGTGGAAATGTATAGCATACTTCTAAATGTGGAGGGAGTAAATCGAAGGACCCGGAGAAGAATCCACGAGACCACGGGGATAGAGACCGCGCAAACTCCAAATATACCAGGCGAGATAATTAACGTCTCCTAGCCACCCGACTGGGGCGACCAGCGGAGTTTTGCCTGCGCGGTGCCCAGGGTCTGGAATTCCTTTCCCCTCGAGAAACTTGCGATCGATGGAGACTTCTAAGGCACGGCTGAAGATCCCACACCACCTGTTTAGCACGGCCTCCCCGTCTCTCTCGTGATGCCTATTCTTACTTATTGACCACCTTTTTAAACTGACGGCGCTTTGAGATCCATTATTTAATGTCGCCTTATACACCCAAACACACAAAGACAAAGATCTCCCGTTTAACCTTAACACCTATAAAGGCCGGCACGGTACACGAGGGGGTGGGTGGCCAACACAAAATGAGTACCTGGTGCGATGTGTTAACATCGCACCAGGTACTCATTTTAAGGCTGAGTCGACCTAGGGGAGGCCCAGGACCGGTTCAGATAATCGTCACTAGTGTTGGCCGTGAGCGGGAATCGAACCGGGGTCGCCAGGTTTGTAGCACAGCGCGCTAACCACTACACCACCGCTCCACGCCACACACACGTACACACACACACACGTACACTTACATGCACAACAGTATGTTAAGGCTAGACGGGGGATATTTGTCTTTGTTTTTAGTGTGTCGGGCTGTCCGACACGGCGCTGATGCCTCGTTAATACGAAAACTGCTTTTTTGTTTAGTTTTCTGTCCTTCCACCGCACCTCCGATTGACACGGTTGGACTACGTAGGGTGCGAAAGAAGTTCAACATACACCATGCAAAAACACGCGACCTTGAATAACTTTCAAGAGCGCCGCAGTCACAGGCAGGAGGGCCTCGCTGCGATGTGGTGCCCTGACTTTTTAACAGGACGTCACTGCAGTGACGTCATTAATCATCGTGACGATGAACGATACGACAGCAGATTATGATGATTGCAATTCTATTCGTGGATTGGCCGATGAATATTAATGAGCTGCATCGTCATAATCACCTGCGTCATCTTCATAATCAGATACATAGTTATCAGCTGCCTCACGATCGATTCATCACCAGCTGCATCAGACGCATCGCTGTAATAATCATCATCAGCTCCATCATCATTGACTGCGTCACTACAATAATCACCATGAGCTGCGTCACTGTACAAATCATCATCATCAGCTGCATCATGATAATCATCATCAGTCGCTTGCGTTGCGATCGAAACGTCGTGATCTATTATATTTTCTACCTACGTGACTTTACCGAAAGAATCAAAGAGTATGGATTCCTGCAGTCACGAAAGCTTCAAATCAACATCATCATCAACCAGAGTAGTACAACAGCATCAATATACTTAATGTCAGGCCGCTGTTCCGAGGATTAGCGGCCCAGGAAAATATATCTACACCCGGCACACCACACCCAGTATACCCTCCACTTATATTTGTGGCTACCGTAGTCGCGTGGTGCCATCTTTCTCCAGTAGACCAGCAGCGACTCGGAGAAAAATATATATATAATTCAGTGAGAAATTAAACCCTGTATCATCATCATCATCGGAGTACCATCATCAGCTGCATGTTCATTATAGTATTATCAACCGCAGCAGTAGGCACATGGTAATTATTTCCATGCAGTAGCATCGGCAACACATGTTATATGCAATGCGGTTTTTCAACGAGGTTGGGTTTTAACGGTCAGTTCATGTAGAAAATGAACAATAATACTAATAATTGTAACAGTTTTTAGTGACCACATTTACAATATCTTAAGTTGCTCTTTGAGCAGCATACAAGTCGTACGGCACAAGCGGTGTCGCTGTTGTTAGCGCACTGCGACTGCGAACTCAGCCACTCGCGTGTCGATTGCAGGCTACGGGCCAACATCGATGGCGAATGTCTCAACCGGTCCCGGGCCTCCCCGTAGGTTGACTCAGCCTTAATTAAACCAGTAGCTGTTGGATTGTGTGTACATCACCAGCGGGGAAGACAGAGGCGGCTGGACGTGGTTCTGACCGCACCATATTCTCCTCCTGCGTTGTTACCGCATCCATAGGTGCTCGCTAACGGCGCTTTCCCCAACAGTCCATTAAAAGGCTATATGGGGGATCTTTGTCTTTGTTTTTACACGAAAAAACAGACAGTCTGGGCAAGTGCTGTGAGCGAGCACCTATGAAGGCCGGGAAGGCACACGGAGGGGGTGGGTGGCCAACACCCCGCCCGACCGCCTTTGTCTCCCCAGTAGGGATGTTTGCACACCGCACCAGGTACTCATTTGAGGCTGAGTTGACCCAGGGGAACCCCAGGGCGGTTCAAATAATCATTACGGCTGTTGGTGGCCGTAAGCGGGAATCGAAATTTGGGTCGCCGGGTTCGTATGACAGCGCGCTAACCGCTGCACCACCGCCCCCGACTGTTATTACAAAGATTACAAACATCCCACGTAGAACCTTAACAGACTGTGGGAGCAAGTCCTGTTAGCGAGCACCTCTGAAGGCCGGAACGGCACACGGAGGAGGAGTGGGGGGGGGGGTTGGCCAACACCACGCCCGTCCTTACACACGCTGAGAGACACAGACACACGGGGAACTGGCGTGGGCCAGAAGGTAACATCAAAGACACACTCCCCTTTTAGTGGCTACGCCAGGAGGCGACATTGCATCCGCCAATTATTTCCTGCGTTCGTTTCAAAGCGCAACCACCAAACCAACGACCACCAAACCAGCCATCCAGCCAGCCACAACCAATGCAACAACCGACAGCACCACAACCAGCAAATAATTACAATGACCACATTGAAGCAGAGAAAACAAGGATACCCCAGAGGAAGGAGACAGACCATTGCCACAAAGGAAACGACTGAGCAGCGACCCATCGTTTATGGGTTTATTTTTTTTTATCTTCGCACGGAGATGCAAAATCCGGCTTTGAAGAGAGGGGGGAGGCACCTAAGAGTTTATTGCAAGGCCAGAATTTGTTTCTGTTCATGGTGGGGGGTTGGGGGTGGGTAGATGTGGAAAGTGGAGGTGGTGGGGGGGTGTTTGAGCGGGGGGGTGTTTGAGGGGGAGGGAGGCCGAGGGCGAGGTTGCTTTTTTGTCAACGCACGTGTCTTTTCACGTGCTAATCAGGGTACACGGCGCCAGTATGCACGTGGTAATTGTGAGCAGACTGGATGGGGGGGGGGTGGAGTGTGGGTGGGTGGGTGGCGTGGGTGCGAGTTGGGATGTTTTGGTCTCGGTGGCGAGATGTTGACTACCTCGCCTGGTATACACGGCGGCCGTGTGTTTAAACCTCTCCACATTTAGAATCAACGTCACGCGTTTCGAGTACGGTGTTCGGCTGCCGTAAATGTCCGCGTTATACGCCACGTCGTTGAGCTATCATTTGTGGTCAGGTCGCTTGTGAAAAAGATCAACATAGCTCAGTGGCCCTTACCTGAATTTTTTTTAAAAATGTTTATAGTTGTCGGTGTCTGCTACCCGAACGCGTTCGCTTAGCCCGTACGCGCGTCTTAAAGGTGCTGCTGATGATGACTCGGATAAATTGATCAATAATGATGTACTATAAGCCCACACATCCTTTGGCAGCCAGTGAGCAAAGCGTTTCTCTAATATAGTGTATGGGAAGTAATTGTTTTTTTTCATTTGCTGTACAGCCAGATAATACGACAAATCGCTAACCTTAAATACCCAGTCGTTCATAAAAGTTGAAGGCAGTATAGTACTATCGAAATGGAGCAAGTGCAGAATCACTGAACCGGAATTGATAGCTTTAAAGCATTTCGCGCGGGGCCCTTGAAAGTGCAGGGCCCGTAGCATATGTAGCTACTTTTGCTACTACGATAATCCGTCACCGGTGACGTAATTTACTTGGCCGCGTGCCGGTCAGGAATCCAGGCAGGAGCCCAGCCCGCAAAGGTCTTAAAAAAAAGCCCTTCTCGAGGGTTATTCTGGGCTACTCCTCCACGTCCTGGAAGAGGTGGGAGTCCCGACCCAGATGAATAAGTGACGTATTATTAAAGTAATCGGCACACATTCGTCTCTCTAACCCAATAATACGAATGTGTATGACATCAATATATTATGGGTTGTTTGTAGATTGTATGTATCGATTGTTTCTGTGCGTGCGTGTGTGTGTTTATGGACTCTGTTTTGTACTAAGCATTGGAATGTGCGTGTGTGGGTGAATACTTGGTGTGGTTTGTAAATATCGCCAATGGGGAGACAAAGGCGGCCCGGCGTGGTGCTCTCCACCCACCAGCTCGGTGTGCTGTTCCGGCCTCCATAGGTTGCTACTCGCTAATAGCACTTGCCCCAACAGCCTACTAAGGCTACACGGGGGATCCTTGTCTTTGTGTGCATGTGTCTCTGTGTGTGTCTGCGTGTTTGCTGACACCGTTGCTGATGCTGTTGCTGCTGACAGAGACATTGATGGTAACGCTGTTGCTGACAATCGTATAGCCGATACTGATGCAAACAATAATAATGCTGCTACAGCTGTTGTCAGTGACAGTGTGACTGCTGCCGACGATCACATAGCTGATGCAGCTGTTGTTCGGTGGCGTTGTTGCTGCTGCTGGACTACAGAATCTGAATATTTATACTGGAGGAATCCTATGAGCTATAGAGCTCTTTGTAAAAGATGTCCGGTAAAGTTCCTCGCAATTCCCAGGTTTCTTGAAACCCAGAGGTAGCCGGTTCGACATTCGGGAACGGCAGCTGAACCGCCGATGGAAAGTTGATTAAAATTCCTCCGCCTCTGTCCAGTGCCGGATGAAGCTAGTGCGGGGCCTATAGCATATGTTATAAAGGGGCCCTAGATAAAAAAAAAAAGCATAATATTAAAACTGACATTTTTAACTTGCATAGTAAAGTAATTGCATTTTTTCATTTGCTGTACAGCCACATAATACGACAAATCGCTAACTTTAAACACCCAGTCGTTCATAAAAGTTGAAGGCAGTATAGTACTATCGTAATTGAGCAAGTGCAGAATCACTGAACCGGAATTGATAGCTTGAAAGCATTTAGCGCGGGGCCCTTGAAAGCGCGGGGCCCGTAGCTACTACGCGTGTAGCTACTACGCGTGTAGCTACTACGCGTAGTAGCTACTACGCGTGTAGCTACTACGCGTGTAGCTACTACGCGTGTAGCTACTACGCGTGTAGCTACTTTTGCTGCTGGGATAATCCGGCACTGTCTCTGTCCACCCAGACGTATAAATGGATGCACCACAGTTTAGTAGATCGGCAGGGGACGGCTCAGAACAACATCGTTGATGCTGCTGCTGATGACGCTAATGTCATCGCTGCTGTCACACTGCTCGTGACAATGATGCTACAGCTACTGCTGCTGCACGAACTTCCGCATCAATTCACCCCCCCCCCCACCCCACTCAAATCCTCTCTCTTGTTCGTCCATCATAGTTGATGATGACCATGACGATGGTAAAAGTGCCATGACGATGCGCAGATAACTTGGATTTAAGTGAGGGTGGTTTGCGCAGTATCAACCTCACTCTCTAGACCAGCCCCATCTGTACCCAGTGGCAGGACGTAGTCAAGACGACTGGAGATGGTCCTGGTTGCAGTGGAAGGTCCAAAGACCCTTTTGGTGGAATTTCCTCCACCAGGGGTTCCACATGCCCAGGCTCAGACAAGCTGAGTGTTCCGGGTTAGTTAACCGCCGCCCGGGGTTCGGCGTTGGCATCTGCTGACTGTACCGACTCACCAGGGATGCTGAGCCTGGTGTGTGCCTACGGTAGCAGCTAGAGGGCCGGGCCCAGATGGAACAAGCCTGAGGCACAACTAACCCCGCACCCTCTCTCCCTCCGTCCCCCCCAGGCCGTGTTCAACTCGGCCGAGGTGGCGTGCAAGTGCCACGGCGTGTCGGGCTCGTGCTCGCTCAAGACGTGCTGGCTCCAGCTCGCCGACTTCCGCAAGGTGGGCGACTCGCTGCTGCGGCGCTACGAGCGGGCGATCGCGGTGCGCGCGACGCGGCGCGGCCGTCTCGAGCCGAGCGGTCCCAACAAAGCGCCCCCACCGGCTCCGCCTGTGCCCCCTTCGCCCTTCGGGGGACCTCTGCCGCCGTCGGGGGCAGGAGGAGGAGGAGGAGGCGGCCAGCAGGGAGCGGGGGCTGCGGCTGCTGCTGCTGCTGCCTCGGCGCTCGCGGAGGACGAGCTGGCGTACCTGGAGGCGAGTCCTGACTACTGCGCGCGTAACGGCAGCACGGGCTCGCTGGGCACGGCGGGGCGGCTGTGCGAGCGGGCGAGCGCGGGGCCGTCGGGCTGTGAGCTGCTGTGCTGCGGCCGGGGCTACGACCACTACAAGGCGACCGTGGTGGAGCGGTGCCAGTGCAAGTTCCACTGGTGCTGCTACGTCAAGTGCAAGAAGTGCTCGCGCACTGTGGACCAGTACGTCTGCAAGTGATGGGGAGGGGGGGGGGAAGGTGGTTGCCGGTGGTGGCGATTGCGGCAGCGTAGCGGTGAGCGCGCCGCGCTCCTGAACCCCCGCCACCCGAGTTAGATTCCCGCTCACGGCCACCAACACCAGTGACGATTATCTGAACTGGTCCTGGGACTCCCTCTAGGTCGACTCGGCCTCCAATGAGTACCCGGTGCGGTGTGTAAATGCAACGCCACCGGGGAGACAAAGGCGGCCGGGCGTGGTGCTGACCACCAACACCCACGTGTGCCGTGCCGGTCTTAATAGGTGCTCGCTAACAGCACTTGCCCCAACAGTCTGTTCAGGCTACACGGGTGATCTTTGTCTTTGCTGGTGACGGCGGCGGGGAACGGTGGCGGGATTGGCTGTCCCCCCACCTTGCCCCCCCCCAACCCCCTCTCCCGCTGATGAGATGAAGATTGACGTGGAGAAGAGAAGAACACGCTTGCGTACGCATGGGTCGTGGTTATCGCCTCTCGTCTTGCGTGCGTCCGTGCGTGCGTTTATTTCCTCTCGGTCTTCGGGAAGTATTTAATTAGCAGTGAAGGAGGGAAGCTGGGTGCGTTGGCGTGTTCACAAATGGGCCCCTTCTGCTGCTGCTCGCTGTGTGTTTCTACGTGATAAATGTGGCCGTTTAAAAAAAACAAGAATAATACCGACGGGACTTTACACTAAAGTTCTGTTGATATTGCATCGACGCTGTGAGCGTTATCGTGAACCCACCACGGACAAATGGACAGAATTATAATTCGTGAACACTTTCAGACGTTAATAATCACGACGACGATGACGATGAGTAATTTAGTAAATTGGCTATTAGCTCTCTTCTTACAGCGCCGGGCTATGTATGCACCTTCCTTTGCACCGTACATAGGCAACAAACTAAACACAATCATCGCGAAAAGAAGACGCTGCTTGCGTTGCCACAGGGCGGATAGAGTCTGTCAGTAGGGAAGGGAGGCGGGCGATGCTGTCGCTGTGATTTTTTTTTTAAATTCAATTCAGTAACTTTGCTGGTCATCTTTTTTCAATAATTCGGTCAAATTTGGGCCGTGGCACCAGCAACACGTAGCCCCCCCCCCCCCCCCGCAAGCCACGCCGTGCCCGAATTGTACACGCGGAGAGAGTTTATTGAACGAACGCGAAGTCCTCCTTCGACACGTGGCAGCGGTGTACTGATGAGCTCCCAATAAGGGAGAAACCGGTACACACAGTCCCGTCTATTTATCATTATTCTGCCAACATTTAAATATATTAACACAAAATAAAAAAAAAAACAATGGCATATTTATCGGTTCTTTTTGAGCTCGTGGCTGCCGTGATTAAATCATTATTGGGGGGGGGGGGGTGGGGGGGGATGGCATGTTGACATGCAAAGTGTGCTCAGATTGCTTTGCTGTTGGAAAACCGCATGTAATAATAATACTTTCATTTTATACAGCGTCATTCATGCCAACAGCATCCCACAACGCTTTACATTAATTATACCACACGGACCAAATCCCATGTACGTGCGGTTGGCTAGGTATGGCGTGAAAGAAGCCCAACACGCACGCACACACACACACACCAAGCAAATTAAAATCCCTACTACCAAGCGAAAAATAATAATAAACAAGTTAAGAAGTGGCACCAAAACAAAAAAAACACAACAATGTTTTTCACTATTATTATGAATCATTATAATGTATAATCATATATTGTACTGTATAACGAAGCAACAGCAGTGTTGGTCTCATGCAACTCGCTTGCTTTCTCACGAAGTTGCGCGCTTTGTGTTACCATAACGAACGCAGCTCATATTACGATAGATTTATTTAAATAATTCTAGATTTTTCTGGTTCGTTCATCATTACGACTATATAATACAGCGTCGAGCAATACACCGAATAATAGTCATCATCATTAACATAATTATTATCCATGGTCAATCCACTGCTGGATGAAGGCCTCCCCAATCTGCCTCCAGTTGTCACGGAACAGCAAATGCGACAATCTCCACAGACTGGCGGAGTGGTGGAGCATCGCTGTGATGCTGGTGCTGGGCCTCCCCTAGGTCAACTCAGCCTCAAATGAGTACCTGGTGCGATGTGTAAACATCGGCAATGGGGAGAAAAAATGTGGCCGGGCGTGGTGCTGGCCACCCACCCCCTCGTGTGCCGTGCCGGCCTTCATAGGTGCTCGCTAACAGCACTTGCCCCAACAGTCTGTTAAGGCGAAAAGGGGGATCTTTGTTTTTGGTGATGCCTCCTCTCTTCGTATTTGTGATTCGGGGCACCGAATCTGCATTCCGCGATCCGTGGTTCACGTCTCGGTGTTGATCACAGTCACCGAACACTGCCGGAGAGAGTTTTAAATTTCCCATTTGCACATCATCATCCCCTGAAATCAGCCGTTTACAAAATTAGAATCAAGAAGAACCCTGAATTAATTGAGACAACACAAAACATCATTGATGAACGTTCACGGATTACAACCTGCAATCTTAACAAAAAGTCCTAAATTCATTTCAAAACAGAGTCCATGCATCACGCATTAATGTTACCGGAGGTCAGTTTGACCATTTGTTAAGATACATTCAATAGCCGTATACGATTTGTTAAAATAAGTGTAACAACCCTATGTCTCCTGACTTTTGGGCCACCCTGTATACCCCGAGATAAGCAACAGACACAAACAAACCGCCTATGTATCCATGCATTCACGCAAAAGGCTGCAAGTGCAATGGACGGACTCGCCCCCTCCACCCTGCCCCCCCCCCACTATGGGGGAACGTGAAATTTCCACCGACAAGCCCGAGACTCGGCCGTGCAAGGCGCGCTGCTACGTCGCGCGGGGAACCGTGGCGGAGAGAGCGGTGAGGCCGACAGCGCCAAGTTCAGAGTGTCTAAGACGTCCTCGCGGGCACGGACACGACACCGAGCCGTCGCCGCCTTCCTTCTGCCGGATCGCTCGGCTGTCGCAAGAGTCGACGTCTGACTTGTTGTGTTTGTTGTGTCGCATCGAAAGCTGTGCAACATCTCTTTCTCTCTGTACTCTTTGGTTCTTTCGGGAAAGTCGCGTAGGTATAAAATAAAATAAATCACAACGTTTCGGGCGCAACACAAGCGTCCGTGTTGCGCCCGAAACGTTGTGATTTATTTTATTTTATACCTACGTGACTTTACCGAAAGAACCAAAGAGTATGGATTCCTGCAGTCACGAAAGCTTCAAATCAAGATCTCTCTCTCTCACATCGCTGGTGTCAAACGCCTGGTCAACACCCGAGCCATGGGTCCCGGCAACTTGGTTCCATGCAACGGAGATCGCTCGCGCGTGTGTATGTATGTATGTTTGCGCAACTGATTGCGAGCAGTTGCTTGGACGATATAATACGTGGGTGCACTCTCTCTCTCTCTCACATCGGTGGTGTCAAACGCCTGGTCCACACCCGAGCCATCGGTCACCGGCAACGTTGTTGCGTGCCACGGAGATCGCTCGCGCGTGTGTACACAACCAGTTGCGAGCAGTTGCGCAACCGGTTGTTCGCAATGAATCCCATCACGAACTGCAGTTGGCGGTGGTGCGCAAACGCAACGAACACAAAAAAAACCGAAACAAACTCAACACGTTCGTCGTGAAACATCGCCCCCCGCGAAGAGGAGGACAACATAAGCGGCGACGTTTCGGGCAATGGCCCTCTATCATGGCCTTTCATCAACGGTAAATTTACATTTCCACAAGTTTGCATTTTTTCCATTGATCCACGCCTCATTCCTTCCATCTCTCTTTTTGTCACGGTGAGCACGCATCTAATCCACGCATCTTTGCACACTTTCCACTTGTTTCGCTCGTGTCAATGCACGTCTGCTTTGACGCTCTCAACCCGCTTTGCTTCCATCGTGTCACAGGCCGGGCGACATTAATAAGCACATCCAACCGATGTCGTTAAGGGAGATGGGAGGGGCAGGCGCTGATTAGGGGAGATACGACGATTGTTTTGAACAAAGAGCGACGTGCCTTACAATCAGTCACAAGTCAAAATCATCATCATCAGCAGCAGCAGCCATGTTCCACGGCTGAATGAAAATCTCCCCGACCATCTGTCAGGGTCGTGCGATGTAGCGATCCACCCGGCTCGCGAGTTGACTCCACCCGGCCTACGGGACATCTTTGAGAAAGAAAGAAAATAAATAGATGTTGTGATTCTGAATCCCTCGCTCCATCTCGTGCGGCGAATGCTCCCGTCACGCGAACGAGACGAGGGAGTTGTAACACCCTCCACTGCCATCGCCTGGCCACACCTCAAAGCCCCACGCCGACAACACCCGGTGATGGTGGTGATGGTGGTGATGGTGGTGGTGGTGATGGTGGTCACCCATTGAAGTGATAACCAGGCTCAGACATTTATGTGATCCGACAAGATCGTGCACAGTCAGGGTGTCTTGATCTTAGGCCAAGATGAAATCAGATTGAATTGTTTTATATATACAGGAGGAATCAGATGAGCTATAAAGCTCTTTTTCACAGATCTCCAGTCCGGGCGGGTCAGATCGTCACAACAGCAAACAATACAAACACTCGATGGGACTACAAACGATCAAGCTACGTTGAGGTTACTGAAGCCACGAGAGAGATATCACGTGCCCCCAACGCCGCTAGTCAACGCGGTGTCAGTAGGACGTTTGATTTCACGTCGTGTATTCGCGTCGTTTGGCCGCTGACGCTCTCTAACGTGCACTCGAAAATCTCTCCTGCACGGTATCCACGCCGTCGTCTTCAACCCCCCCTCCCCCACCTCCCCTGCAGGGCGAGGCGCCCGGGTTGAGATCGCTGCCATTGATGTTTTGAAAGACGCTTTCAATGCTTTTTTTAATTTAAATAACGTTTCGTTATCGTTCTATAGTTTTTTTTACGTAATTTTTTATTCTTATTCGATAAGATACTGCATCGAGTGTTCGTGATCTTGCTTAATTTAAACAAAAATGTTCTATGATGGCACTGTAGCTTTTTTTTATACAGCAGTGTGAGTTGCGTACGCGAATTAGCAATATATTCCGAATTTCCGCAATGTCACTGCTCCTAATTGCTATATGCCTTGTGTATGTCCGTCGTTGTATATCTGTA